TCAACAGGAAATTAGGGCAGCATTAAAATTTCATTCAGGGGCTGGAGGCATGGCCTGTGAGTTAAGACCTAATGTTCATTCAGAAGAACCAATTTCTGTTCCCAGCACCCACAAGGATGAACTGACACCTGGCCTCTGCAAATGCCTATATTCTATGTCCACTCCCCTCCCCAAAATGCATCTTTTGAAAAGAAAAAAAAAAGAATTTGTGCTGCCCAAAACTCCAGAAGAGACCTCCTAAACTGCCCCATTTGGCCTAGACCAGGTCTCTAGGTGTGTAGGACAAGTGGCAGCAATGGCAGGGAGACCAGCCTTTGTTCGGAGAATGTGAACCAGTCAGACTTGCTCTATTTACACCACAGGATCCAAAAAGAGCCGTGTGCACTAGGCATTTCTGCTACTGCTCCTGCTCCCAGAGAATTTTACTACCTGTGACTCCACATGCCATATGGGGGTGGGCTACTATTTCCTCAGGCGGTAAACTTTTTTGTTGTTTGAGATAGGGTTTCTCTGTATTGTTTTGGAGGCTGTCCTGGAACTCACTCTGTAGACCACACTGGCCTCGAACTCACAGAGATCTGCTTGCCTCTGGCTCCTGAGTGCTGGGATCAAAGGCATGTCTTTATTGAACACAAACTATAAGTGAGCCGGAATTGGAGGCGGAAGCAGGAAGATTGTGTGAAGTCAGCCTGAACTACATGGTGATTCCTGTCTCTACAGGCTGAGGATATGCTTATAATGAGAGCTTCTTCGTAGCATGCACAAGGTTCTGTTTTCCCTGTCTTGGAAAAACAAAAACAAAAAAAAACAAAGAATAAAAAAACCCATTATTTTAAGGAAGCCAAGAAAAGAGTTGGTGTGGTTAATACGTATAATATAGTTAGGGGCCCTCAATCTAGTCTAGTCCAGGTTCTGTGTTATAGGAAGTGGTTTTCCTGTTACTTGATTTCACTGATAAAATAATTCCTCCTTAATTAAAAAGCAGAGCGAGACAACACATCTATAAAGATTGCAAGGTCTAAGGAAGATAGTAACATCCCTTTATTTGAAGTGTTTGGGACCACATGAACCCAGCCTTGTTTGTTAAAACTTACAGAAATATACTAGAGCTAGCTTAAGCTGAGAGATAGGGTTCATTAATTATTTAGTTAATAGGGAATTTCAGCACCCATTTTCTGTCTCACTCATTTTATGTGTTGAGTTCCCATATGTATATAGGTGCCCTATAACATTGCTGGAGGCCAGAAGATAGTGTAGGATCCTCAGGAACTGAAGTTACAAATGGTTGTGCATCGCCATGCGGGTGCTGGAAAATAAACTCACATCATCTGCAAAAGCAGCAAGTGCTCTTAAAGGCTAAGCCATGTCTCCGGCCTTTGCTGTCATTATATTTTGCTTTGCTTTTTGAGCAGGCTCTCTTGCAGTGTAGGGTGATCTGCCAGAACTATGTAGCCTTGAATTCCTCCTCTACCTCCTGAGTGTGGCCTTATATCCAATGAAGCCCAGCTCAACGTCCACTTCTTTCTTCTCTTTTGCTTCATAGACCGGCTTCTGTTACACTTTTCAGCTACTAGTTTATACTCGATTGAAAATATCAAATGCTCGAGCGTCTCTCTTTCTCTCTCTCTCCACACACACACACACACACACACACACACACACACACACGGCAGCTTCACTTTCCAGTTACTAGTTTATACCCTTAACTGAATCTCATTGCTCGAGCGTCTCTCTCTCTCTCTCTCTCTCTCTCTCTCTCTCTCTCTCTCTCTCTCTCTCTCTCGCACGCGGAGTTTCAAATTAGGGTGCTCACTTTGTCGCAGTGGCCTAGGGCGAATGCTAATAGGTCTGAATGCCACGGACAGATACTGAAATTTTAAGGCTACCGACTGCATTTTATATAACTCACAGGATCTAAGACTCTGGAGTACAAGTAATAGCCTTTGGGTGTGTGCGACAAATTCACATACATTCTCAAAAGAACGCAGGCCGCACGCCTTTAATTCCAGCACTCGGGAGGTAGAGGCAGGAGGATCTGTGCGTTCCAGGCCAGCCTGGTTCACAAACGAGTTCCAGGGCAGCCGCGCTACACGAAGAAACCCTGTCTCTAATATCAAAAATCAACGATAAGAACAAGAAAAAGGCCAACGCAGAACCAATAGACAGCCGAGCCACAGACTGAACCAGCTTGCCCAGCTTTCGCGCTGTCGGTCGGGCGTGGCGAGCGAGTGTGGCCAGCGGCTGCTGACGCCTCTCACAGGAAAGCTACGTGGCGCCCCGCGGTCACCGCTGCTCTTCCCTGATGGAGACGCCCAGCGGAACTTGCCCTTGATCCACCGCCAAGCGGACGCATCCCTACACAACACGCCTCCTCCAGAAGCACGTCCAAATCCCAGCCTCCAGCTCGACGGCCCTTCAGAGGCACATTGCTCCCGGAAGTGCCGTCCCGCCGGGTGGGAGGAGCGAAACGCGGCTCCCGGAAGTTACGGTC